GCCCCACCCGTCGTCCGCGCGCCCCAACGGTTGCCTTGCGCCCCCCCCTCAGCCCCACACGCCTTGCGCCCCCGTTTCTTCTACCCGTTTTTCCCTTAACTGCGTGTTCGTTTTCGTGGAGTTCAGGAATGGGGTGTCCAGCCCCGTTGCCGTTTCCCCAGGGGCCGAGGCGTGGAGGGTTTCACCGAATCCCCTAGGACGGCGGTGCGTGTCCGCCCCAGAGCCGGTCTGGGAGCGGCTCCGGTTTGCCCCTTGGGAGCCTGGACTGCTGCTTTCCAGCTGCACGGCCGGTTGCTTCTTGTTGATATCCTCCCATGAGCTTGATGAAAAGGTAGCGATTGCTGTAGCTAGGTAGGTGATGTTGGTCGTTAAATATGGCAAGAATTAGAATAACCGAGTCTCGTCTGTTTTTATTAGGACTTGTTTCTGCGTGACGCTTAAGTTTATAGCATTTTATTTAGTTTTGACAGAGTGCTCTGAGATGCTGTCATATGAAACTGTAAGTCGTTGCATAGTAATTGAAAAGGCATTGTTTGAAGTAAAACTCCCTTTGTTTGACTGACTGTATAAAAAGAAAATTGAGATCTGCCAGCTGTCATATATTACTTTCAGCTTGGTGCTCTACTTCCGCTCAGCATTACGTGTCCAAGTGCTTTCATCTTCTCTCTTCGTCCATGCTGGCTCTTCTGGCTGCTGCTGTCTTATCTGAGCAGAGTGTCTCTAAGTTTCCTTTTGCTAACCCTTGTGGAGTTTAGGCTATGTTATTGTCCCTGTGACTTACAGTGAAATCATAGTATCTTCTAATCAAAATATTCCAAATAGCCAAATCAGCTTTACCCCTAGTTTGTCCTTTTTAGTGCTAATTAACCTTTTGACTTTCCTATGGCAAGAGCTTGGTGCAATAAAGGTTTTCTGGTCGAGTTTAGCGTTACTCTGACCTGACTGTTCAGTATCAGTACTTCTAAAGGCAATCTCCTAGCTACTTTGAATTTCAAATAGGCCAAGTTTACCTTTTGTGTCTTCTTATTGTTTCCTCAAATATATTGCTCATATTTGGGTTTGAGAAAGCAGTCATTTATAACTCTTTGCTCATCATCTTTGTTCTCATTGCAGGATTTTCTACTCTTCTGCAGTTTGAGAAAGGAATTATCTTGTTTGATTATACGCAAAGTAGTCTCTTCCTGGAATTCTTTTGTTTCCAGAAGTAGTCTAAATGTGAACTTTGGATGCTAATTCTTTCTTACTTTCCATAATTGTGGAACGCTAATTGTCCTCACTTCTTTTTGCAGTGCCTCTCACTGCTTATACAAGTCTTTGAATTGTTTCCCTAAAGCTTACTTTTCCAAGCCTGCGTCATTTTTTCACATTTCTTCCTCCTTTACGTGATATCCCAGTTTGTACTTCTCTGTCTACCACATGGTATGCTGTTGCTGCTTAAGAGGGCCCTAGATTATTATGGTCCACCTAATAATTTTGCTTACAGAGTTGTTTTTGTTGTTCAGGAAAAATGGTAAATGAATGCAGAATTATCCAGAAAGGCTTCTTTGGCAACCTCTATTTGGGATTAATATTCTTTTCTTCATTTAAGGCTAGTCAGTGTCTGTACTATACATAAATTGAATAGCTGACTATAGCAGCATGAGTGACTCCTAAAAATATGTTAATGGTTAAAAAGAAAAGTGAACTTCAACTCAAGATTTTTTCTTTGGAAGAATATATTTGCTATCTGAAAGAGCAGTGTTACTTGAGAAATTGCTCTGCTTACTTTTTTTTCTCAATATGTTTGAAGGGTGGTTGTTCTGTGAAGGAAATTCTGGGTAAGACTTTTCAGAGATACTTGCAAGTAGTTTGTGTTAAATATTTAATGTATTGCATCAGCATAGTGCTTTCTGTACCCTGCTTCGTCATTAATGATAATTTGTTCTGAATGTGTTGCTTACTTTTCAGAACTCTGAGGATGTCCGGTGTAAATGCATCTGTCCTCCTTACAAAGACCATTCTGGCCGTATTTACAACAAAAATGTTTCACAGAAAGACTGGTGAGTTTATGGGGTATCAAAATTATGATGAGTTCTACTGGTTAAAGTCATACTTCACTGTGATTATGTGCGAGTATTCTCTAAGAAGGCTGAGGAATTTCATCTTTTGCGTTAACTTACTGGTACTTTACTTTTAAAAGCATTCCGGAGTTTGTCTCTAGCCAGGGACAAGGCCCAGAACCCTTGTAATCCCTGTTCTGTCATCTGGTTTTGATTGCTTGCATATTTTGCTATTTATTCAGACTGAAAAATAGTAGAGGAGAATGGGTTATTGTAGTTTGAATTCAGTGTTTTGAAATTGTCTGTAGGATTGCAAGGAAGCCTGGCCTTGGAACTAGGATTCAGGGGAGTTGTCTGTTCTTCCTCTACCCTTAAACTTGCCCTGTCATTTAGAGATTACTTCTGGAAGATTCTGTTCTGTTCTATTTCCGGGCTGTTTCCACAACCGGAGAGTGCAGATACATGAGACAGCTTGAGCTGTCTCTCAGAATATTGTTTCTGACAGGGAGACGCCTTGCTTTCCCATGCCACAGCTGGCACAGTTCATGCCAACTGTGGCAGCTGTCAGACTTCTTTCAGGGCTGAGGTCATGCCCGGCCTGGGATGAGGGACCGCCTTGCTTTCCCATGCCACAGCTGGGCACGTTGGCACAGCTGGCACAGTTCATGCCAGCTGTGGCAGCTGTCAGACTTCCTTCAGGGCTGAGGACATGCCCGGCCTGGGATGAGGGGCTGGAGATGAAAGGGGCATGGAAATGATGTGCATTGGCCTAGATCTCTTGTGTAACTTCACCTCAGCTATCATAATCTGTGTGAATGATACCAATAAAAAGCTGTAACTTGAGCTCAGCTTGGTGCTTGAAGTTGTCAGAAATTTTTAAATTAACCTATAAACATGTGAAATACTTCTAGGTATTTTAACTCTTTATTAGTTCCTAATATACCTGAAGATTACCAGCCTGAGCAGCATCAGGATAGCAACTTGATACTGAAAAAGCTTCATGCTCCTAAACAGTTCCACTGAGGTAATTATAGAAATAAACTTACTGATACAGGTATGTGTAGAGCCATGTCTTAATTTACTAAAATGCTTGCAGAGGAACTATGAGAAAGAAACATAGTAAATTTCAATCTTATCTTTATTCAGTATAAGTGAGCATAAAATGCAGTCTAATAAAAGTTATTATTTTTGTCCCATATGATTAACTTAACAATATTAGCTCTGCTGTGAGAGTGCGGAAACATGCTGAGGGAATTCAGTTGCAAAAAGCATTTCAGAGTAGCAATTCTATTGGTATTGTTGCTCATTACTTGTCTGTAGTGAAAATGGATCTTTGGTGGGTTTTGCTTGATATGCAACTTACTGGCAGAGAAGATCCTCCTTCCATCCAATTCAGTATTGGAACTGACTGAAGGAAAAGCCAGCTTTGAAGGCTTAAGTAATTTTGTGGTGAAAGATACTGAGGCATACAGAATCTCCTAAAATCTATTTTGTGGAGATCCTGTATTAGGTGACCATCTGGGAATGTTTTATGGCTTTGATCTTCAGGTTGTCGTCTTCCTGCCTTTAAAAGGCTTAATTGCTAGTTCATGAGCACTAAATAAAGAAATTTAATGTTGTACTTTGACTTCTGCATCTGTGTAAGTGACTTGTTATTGAATAGAACAGAGTGATAAACATAATCCTTTTGGTATTTATGTAAGTCATTTGTATGAGACAAAAGCCAGGTCGATTTTTAGTGTCTTTATGAATTATGCATGGTATAACATTGACTTAGCTTTTGGCTTATTCTGACGTAAAATTAAAAATTAATTTTTAATATTCAACCCAAATCATGCATGGCGACATTCTTACTAAGGTGATTCAGTTTTTTTACTTGAAGTGCTCAGTTCTTCAAGCTTCAAAGACTGGTGGGTGAGTGCTTTATGTGATACCAGTATGAGCTGGTGGTGCTTTGATCCCACTGAAAGCAGTCGCTGTTCTAGATTCAGGCCGGGAAGCGTTGCAGGCAGCCAGCCCTGATGAATAACGCACCAGGCAAGCGGAGAGGTGTCTAAGCACCTAGCAACAGCGTGTTCGTTTAAATAACCCACTTTGAGAGAAATCTGTTGGTGTTTCGTGTTCAGAGGCTGGCTGCCATGGGAGGAGTGGGCTTGGAGGGGAGGGGAACACACTGACTTCTAGCTGAAAATAAAGGAAAATCTCTTTGCGCAGACCCTGCACTTCAAACTAGCCTGGCTTACACAGGAAGACCCTTTCTTAATGCTATTATTGTAGGCACGAATGAAAGGAGAATGCAGAGGTCATGGAATGGGAATATCCTTCAGTAAAGGATCATCCTTTTCCATGTTTTCTTTTAAAATTACAATAAAATTACACCAAGGAGATACATCATTTAAATTCTGAGATTTCTATAACTTTTACGCTTCTGAGCAAATTGAAACACTGAACTAGAGAAAAAATGCTGATCCCAATATTTGATAACGTACAGTAACAGCCTTTCCACTATTCTTAAGCAGCACACTGATATAAGCTTGCCATATTATGAATTATGCAGCAATTATGAAATTACTTAGGTTATAACTTACATGTTCTTTGATTTTGGTAGTTCAGTATTGCACTGTGGCATGGACACCATAATTGCAATCACAAATAAGTAGGGAAAAATAAAGTTTCCATTTCTCTTGAGAGAATGGATTAGAAGTTTGATAGTTTTCATTTTGAAAAAGAAATACAAACAAAACAGAAGGGATGAGCTGATATCTTTTTTTGTGGCTCTGCGTCATCTTAATGTAGCAGATCCCACTGCACAATCATGAGCTACTGCTGTCACATCAGGCACTCCATTACTTGCTTCTGACTGTACCAACACTGAGCTAACGAAGATAGAGGCGAAAGCTGTTTCCTTCTGTAAGGACAGCATTCTAGGAGGAGCTTAGGATGTGAACTCTAAACGACCAATCTGAGTCAGCAAAAGGGGTTGAATTACGTAAATTGTTGGCAGAAGTGCTGGCTAGTATGGTGGAGAATGCCCTCAAATTCTCATTTGTGCTTCTTGGCCTGAGAACTGGCTTATATTTTGTAATCGTTTAAATCAAATCATGCGTTTGCATCCTGGTCCAGTGCTGAAAACTAAATGATGCTTATATGCCATAATGCTGCTTATAGAAACAACCCATATGACTTCATTTTTTTTTCTTTAGTGCCAGTGACTCATGGCAGTAAAAACAAGACTTCTGTTCATGAACACCAAAAAGATGTTAATCTTCCTTCAGACACTGGAAGGATAGAATAAAGCTCTTAAAGTATGATGAATAAAGAAGTGGGTTATAGATGGAATTTACTTTCATGTGGTGTCAGTGTCAAGTGATGCATTTCTTCTGGGATTCTACTGTGCTCTTGATCAACAAGCTCAAATCCTTGAACGTGTTAGGCTAGCTACAATAGCATCTTGTATTTTTCAGTGAAAATGTAAACATCTGTATTTACGTAAAGTTCTTGCAAAACATGTTTAGTAGCTTGTCAATAGCATCTTTCTTAATTAAGCAAAATAATTGAGGTGCAATATTTTGTTAAACCAGGGTAGCCTATAGTTCATAACAGTGTAACTTAACAAAAGGGGACTTCTCTGCTCATGCCACTGGAGGTGCACACCTCTGAAGCTCTGAGGTCTGCCTGCATAGAGGAACAGGTAGGGTAAAACCAACCCAGAACCCTTTCTGTTTTTTCTTCAGTGACTGTCTTCATGTGGTTGAACCTATGCCTGTCCCCGGACCTGATGTAGAAGCGTACTGTTTACGTTGTGAATGCAAGTATGAAGAGAGAAGTTCTGTCACAATTAAGGTAAACAGTAGAATTCTGTTGCTATAGATTAAATATGTCAAACAATTAGTAAATAGGTCTGACACATTTTAGAGGAGATAATGTCCTGATGTTGGCATGAATTGTGCATATATTTTATATTGGGCAGGTTACGATCATCATATATCTGTCCATTTTGGGCTTACTTCTTCTGTACATGGTTTACCTTACATTGGTGGAGCCTATACTGAAGAGACGTCTCTTTGGACATTCCCAGCTTATACAGAGTGATGAAGATATTGGGGTGAGTTCACCTGAGTGAACACGCATTTGAGTTGACATAAAGACTGGGATGGTTATTTGTTAACTTATTGAGATGGATAGCTTTTTGCCAGGCACTTAGCTTCTTTTCCTGAGGGAGATGATATTCTTTACAGGAATGGTAAGGCTGTATGCTGACCTCTGAAGCGGCTATTTTTTTTTTCTCACACTGGTTAAGCCAGGTGGTCTCCAGACATCCCTTGCCACTTGACCTATTCAGTTATTCCGTCCTCTTTGTATTGAAGAGGCGCTTGGAAAAGTATAAAAGCATGGAGCATAGCTCTGCAACTGCCTGGGATTTTATAAGCTTATGAATCTATAAGCCTTGGGGAATTGTCATCAATAACTAATGCAGGGAAAGTATTCTAAGTTGACAGCCAGATTGGTGGCAACATGTCATGTCAAAAAGCTTGAAATGATAAAGGACTTTCTAAAGTCTGATAACACCACCAATGTTGTTTCTGCATTGAGTTCTGTTTTTACTAGTGAAGTACCCTTCAAGTGTGCAGTAAACTTAGAATTTCTAAACCCAGACTCAGGCTATGAAACCCCTTTTCCATTTGTTTTAAGCTAAAACTTTCAGCAAATGTGAACTCTTTAGAGTTTAGTAAGCCCTCTTGAAATAAGTGAGACCTAGCTAAAGACTTAAAGTATTTACTAATCTCTTACAATGGAATCCTTAAGAATATTTTAGTTTTCGTTCAAATAGTAGGCTGTTAGAAGAGATAAGTTAGTTTGGTCATGGTCAAACAATAGTGTGATGACAACACTTAGAAATCTATTTAAATGCTTGTAAATACCCAATAGTTCTGCCTGTTGTTTCAGTGACTTCACAGATTTGAAGGGATCAAATTTGGTACATGTTATGCCTGTATTGTGTTTTTTAAGTGGATCACACTCAGTTTTGTAATGTGAATGTCATTGTCAGAAAACTGAGAAGCATATTCTTTAGATCTACATCTCCTCATCTGCCATAACAGCCATTCTGAGTCCTTTTTTTTTGTTTTGTGTTTCTTTTAATTTTAAATTAAGCATTTTTCTTAGATAATAGCTTTTATCAGCTGTGCCTCTTCTTGTACCTTGATTTCACAGCAGAAATGTGTAATTGTCACCCAGATTTGGGCTAGTGTTTGGAATAAAACATCTCCAGATGCTTTATTCCTATTTCCTTCATACCCTATTCCTGTTCCCTCACATTCTCTATTTCTTGTGACCCGCTTTCTGTGCTTGGTTATGTCTTATGTGGAGATATATTCAATATGTCTTTGTATTAATGTCCTAAGATATTTCACAGTCAAATTTCTGCTTGAATCAATCAACTTGTGCTGTAAGTTGTATCTCCGTTGGATAAATAATTACTATATCTCCAAATCTGGAGTGGAATTTTCTGGGTATAGGGTGAAAGAAAAATAATATCCTGTGGGAGAACAGGATTTAGTTAACTGCAGAATGAATTTATCTTAAATTTTGCATGCATTTTATCCAATTTCATGCTTTGCTTTGTCTGTTACCATGTCCTGTCTCATGCTCGCAGAGTCACTAGTGCTTATATCAGCGGCAGTGTTTTGAATAAAGTGCAGTAGCTTCTTGCCTAGTTCTTGCTATTCCTTTCCCACTCATCCTTCTCCTATGACAGTAACTGTGGAATAATTGAAGGTCTTTCATGGCTTATTCCCTTTCTTGTCTTTCCTCTTGCAAGTTTTTCAGGTATCGATCCTTGTCTGACTCAGAAAATACCAGTCTTTGTAAGCAGTTGTTTGTTCTTTCTTGTTGCCCACTGACAGCAGTGGCAACTGATGAACATCTGTAAACCTTCTTTCTTTTAAGTTTTCTTACTGACAGTAGTTAGCCTTGGAGCTGAGATCCACGCTTGTCAGGCGTGGCAGTATGGTCTAACTTTTCCTGTGCTCTCTTTTTGTCCTTGTGTTTCTTGGTGGAAACATGCTGCTATTGTGCTTTTGTTTCACTGTGATTTACTTCCTGTTAACTTCCTGTTATAGATATGTCTAGCTGTATAATCTTTTTTATAGGGAGATTGTAACTCTTTGGGTCAGGGGCTGTCTCTTGTTCTGTGTTAGCATGTTTCTTACGTGTGTCTTTGAGACTTGATGGCATCACTCCAGCAGGTATCCTTAATGATAATCTCTGCACTACTGAGAATTAGGATTGCTACTACAGCAACATACTACAAATAAAGTATCCATTAATGTAAACACTTCAAAAATCTCTGGGGAATGAAAAGGAAGATGACTTGCAGATACAACTCAAAGGAGTTGTTTAATACAGAGCATATTGGTTTTCTTCTTTCATTTGTACTATACATTGCACATGTGACTTTCTGACATTAGCTTTAAAAACATGACTTTGTTGAAGGCAGTTTGACAAACACAAGAGGTTCCATTCCAACTTTTACTGCTTCTGACTTAGATTTATTTATTAGAAGAAAATACAGCTTTGCAGGTATTGTTAGGAAACAGACAGAGTAAATATTAAACAAGTGCTCAGTTATTGTTGAGCTCTTTGTCACTTAAACAGCTGTATTTACACTTTGCTTTTAGACAGCTTTGTACAATGGGTTTAGTTTGGTAAACATCAGAGTGTGTTGGTTTTATATAGAATCTTTGTGTGAACATCCCAAGCTGCTTTACAGTAAAAGACTGAGAGCTGGCAGAGCACCAAAGCTTTAAGTCAGCACTCAAGTGAAGTGCGTTCGTGATGATAACGGCAAGATCCCAGTCTCTGCCTTTGTTCTAGGCTTCTACCCCAGCAGCTACAAATGGGGTCAAGGCTCTGGGCAGCATATAACTATTTGGCTGTGCAGTGAAGCTTGGTCTACTTGGCAAACCTGTGGAAGCTACTTTGAATGAAAATTTGAAGTACAGTCCTAATTGCCACACGCCTATTTTGCCATATCGGCTGACTAGCTGGTTAAATAGCTTGTGTTTTGCCTAAAAAATACTATTGTACTTGCTGAGTGGAATTATTGAGCACTAACTGCTAATTTTTGCCATTTCAGGATCACCAGCCTTTTGCAAATGCCCACGATGTGCTGGCGCGTTCTCGGAGTCGTGCCAATGTCTTGAATAAAGTGGAGTACGCTCAACAGCGATGGAAGTTACAGGTCCAAGAGCAACGCAAATCTGTCTTTGACCGTCACGTTGTGCTGAGTTAATTGTCTGTCTTAATTGTAACTCCAAGGAAGGACTAATTGAACAAGCTGAATTATGTCTTCCTGATCCTACCACTTCAAAAGGGTTCTCTCTTTTGGTTCATTACTGATAGAAAAAAAGTATTTGGACTTTGAAAGAATGTACTGGAGTGGCAAGTATTAAAATAAACTTAGTTAATTGAAAGCTAAAAAGCTTTACATTTTCAAATGATTTTTACTAACAAATCTTACAAAAAACAAAAGACGCTACAGAAAGTCCTGAGCTGTCTTGGGTTGTCACTGTGGTACCCTATTTAGAGTTGTGGCTTTATGGTGATTTTTAACTCTGTCTTTCTCTGTACTTCTTATGTGGTCAAAAAGTACCTGGGAACACAGTAATTACTTAAAACTCACTAATCACTTTACATGAAGACCTTTTGTAAATATACCTGGATTTTCTGATGACTTATGCTAGGTACTGGAAATCTAAATCTTGCAGTGCAGTTTTCATATTGGAGAATGAAATTCTGAATGGTTGTGTTCATCATTTGATTTCCTGCACTCTTATTTTGAAGATGCTGTACATCAAGTGATGTTTGGAGATTTGAGGCAAAACTTAAATGGGCACTGATTCTTTGAGCTGCATACTTCAAGTACTGTGATGTAGATAAACTCCAATGCAGTGCATATTAAGACAGTGTTGGCATTTTTGTTCTGTTTTGCTCTGATAGCTTAATATATTGTATGCGTGATAACTCTTAAAATCCACTCCTTTTCTTATCATGGGTAAAGTCTCAGGAGTTAGTATATGATGAAGTATTTATTATAAAAATCTTTCTGCATCTGTGTGCACTGATAGTGTAAGGCACATACTTTCTCTAGCATCTGTTATCCTGGGAATTAGATGTATTTTTTTTTTTTTAATCTGTGACTCCATACTCATCTCTCTGAGGTAAACAGTTGCTAGTTAACAGGCTTTCATATATCCCCTTTGGAATGTAATAATTAAAGATAAAGCTGATTTTCGAAGAAAAGGGCGTGTAGTATCTTTGTCGTCATTTCACTCCCTCAGTACCCTACATGTTAGTTCTATATATAAAAGCATTTCTCTGAAAATGCTTCAGAGTAGAAGTCTGCAGTGTATTTCAGAATTTGAGTAAGGGAAGGAATGGCTCATCAAATGGCTGACTGAAAAAAAAAAAAACCAGTTTGTAACCCCTGACCTAAATTTAGCTATAGTTGTGACTAATTGCCTTACAACAGTTTGAAATTCCTGTGTCAAAGGAAATAGTCTCTAGACCAGTGCTCTTGGCTGGGCATGCCAAGTGCAGTTTTGGCTTTCTTAATCAACAGCCTGTATGGATGTGGAAAACAGACTGATGACACCTGTGCAGGTAATTCTTTCACACCAGGGATGGAAACAGGGCTGTTCCACAGCAACATTTGCAGTAAATGACAATGCCACTTCAGCGAGCTGCAGGAGAATGGAAACAAAATGCATTCCCAATTACTTCCTGAAGAAATCCAGCTGCCTTCAATAGAGTTTGAAAACTTGTAGTCTCACTGCCAGATTTGTTGCCATTATAGGTATGGTGTGGGTGGCAAAGCCAAACCAGAAATAAGCAGATCTAACTGTAAGCTACTTTGCATGTTGTCAATGGACTATAAATTACAGTCATCACTGACTCAGCGGAACAAGCGACATAGTTCAGGTAAGAGACTTGCGTGTTGCTCTGTCTAGCAATGAGTCTTCACCGAATATCAGTGTTTCTTAAATTATTTCTATCAGCTATTCTGTATGAGGGTTTCTGTAGCTTTTTTAAATGACTTGCATTTAGTATGGCCTGTTATTTGATTAAATATGGTGTATGAAAAATGGAAAATATAACTTAGTTTCTTTAATATCATCCAGATGTTATTCATCAGTCTTAAAATAACACGTCCTGTTTCCTTGGATTTTACTTTCATCTGAAGATCGGTGAGTCTGTCATCCTTTAATAAGAAAACCATTACAGCACCTGAATTTTGCACTTTCTGCAGACAGTGAGGTGGCAGATTTTGTGGAATGCTGCTCTGCCATGGAAGTGTCAGTGCTAGGCAATCAATGATGCAAGTATCTCATTGTGAGTTTTTTTTGGTTGGTTTTGTTTGTTACATAAAAACACTTTTGCTCTAAAGGTTTTTCTTGCTTTGTAACAGTTTATTCTGTGGTAATTTTTTTTTACATCACATTGCAGTAGAAAACAGAGAATAACCCAACATGTAATATTAATGAAGTAAAAAAGATGACAGCCTGCTATTTTTCTTTTCTGATGGTTATATGTGTGTTCACTTCGGATCTTTTTGCATGTCTAGTAATTTATAATGAAAGCATATTTATGCTACTGGCCTGTCTAAAGAAGCCTCTTTTTAAGATTCTTGTGTGAGCACATGCTATAAGCTCAAGATTTCTGTATTGACATCTATTGCATTATAAACATCAGGCACACTGAATACAGACATGTTTTGATGGCAGATGGTACGAGGATAGGCCCCTCAGTGATAATTCTGTCCCTATTAAAGTGGCAGATGCGGAATTATTAGGAGACTTGTTAAATTATCTCCATGTCATCATGAAGGATAAAGTAAACCCCATTTATGTAGTGGGACTCTGGTCTGAACACTTGAAGCTTGGTTCAGGCTCTTGTAAATAGTGCAATGTGTCTTTCTCGTAGCCTCCTTAATGTTCAGGTGGCTTTTCCATTACAGAGGGCATAACAAAAATTAGGTGTTCTAGAGAGCAGTGTGTAAATGAAAAGGTGAATGGTAGGAAAGTGCTGGGGTCTGCCTGGATTCTGTGTAGGCAGGGGTTGTTCCTCATCAAGGAGAATGAATCACACTCTTCTTATCTTAAAATATTGGCTATTTTACGTGTATTTTTAAGAAGCTGTCTGCTGTTTTTAGTGGACTACTCTAAATCACAGGTTTGTAGCCATGCTCTTAGCAGGGTGTAGAATCACTTCTCCTCAGTAAAATAGTTTGTACCCGAAGGAATGTGATCAGGTTGTGATGTTTTGAGGTCGGTTGGATTTTTTTTTCATATCAACTAATAAAATACTGATTCCAAAATAAAATTAGTTACTAATATTATCATATTCTGTATCTGTGTTCAATATACAGGTAAATGCAGGAACATGGAGATCCAAGGAGATGCCAGGCTTAGCCAGAATTCATCTTTTAGCCTTTTTGTAAAACTTTTTGCACAGAATGAATGCAGTAACTTGACAGGCCTAAAGTTGAGATTGAAGTGCCTTGCCTGAGCAAGCTTGCTGTCTGCTGAAGACAGCGAGTGAGGCATCAAGTGAGTAGAGAGAACAAGCAGTGTGCTGCAGAAGACTTTGCTGAGGGTAGGGTACTTGAATTGCTGATCTGATTTTTTTGGAGGGAGCAGAAAGTAAAGAGCATCTCAGATGTTGGCCTGTGTTTTCTGTGTTGGAAGTTTTAGTGGACTCCGAGCAGGATCTGTGTTGCAGATACAGAGAAAGTTCCTCTTCTTTTCTAAATCTGAGGGCAAGGGAGACTTTGCTGCATCCTTTGGGAGGTTTTGATTTTCTTCAAATCTTTTGTCTGTGTTGTAGGTTTGCACCCTCCCGTGTGTTGAAATGGAATATGGTCTGCTCTATGATCTTCCAAGATCATTCCAAAATCCTTGAAATGCGTTAAAAACCTGTCCTGGAAATGCCAATAATGCCAAGTATTGCTAAGTCCAGTTGATTGTTGTTGTTTTGTTTTCTTTGCTGTTCAGTAGGAGTTGTTAAGCTTATGTAATTATATATCTCCAGGGTAAATGCAGAACCTAATGGATGGCAAAGGCTACTGCGACTTCATGGACCAGTTGTCCATCCGTGGCGACACCCAGTGCATGCCGCTGACCAGGTCTTTCTGTGTAGACCCCATGGTTACGTTTCACGTGTACCCAGAAACATCAAACCAGGTCACCTGCTCTGAGGATTTGTCATTCGTTCCCTTTGGGCCAGAGCATCTCATCACGGAAAGCTTCTACAACGAGTCCTGCACCTTTCCCTATCAACTCCCCTGTTCCAGCTACGGCAGAAGCGAGTACTCCTACGGGCCAGCGTTCATCAGAAAGAGGAATGAACGGGAAAGGCAGAGGGTTAAGTGTGTCAATGAAGGATATGCCAAACTGAGGCACCACCTCCCTGAGGAATACTTGGAGAAGCGGCTCAGTAAAGTAGAGACTCTCCGTGCTGCCATAAGATACATCAGCCACCTACAGTCTGTTCTGTACAATGAAGCTGCACTGCCAGAAAAAAGGATCGTGGAACCAAGCCAAGCACCCAAAGCAACTAACAAGCAAAACCAGTTTTTGAAGACTATCTAAGCTCTTCCAAAGCAAGCAAAAGTTATCCTGCCCAGGAACCTAATAATCACTATAGCAGTGGCACGCGTGTTCTTGGCACGTTTCAAGAGCAGATCATGTCTAAAACTCTTACCAAACCAAAAATGCATACCTATACCAGGAAAGTAACTACATACCATCACACCCTACATGCTTTTAAATAAAATACAGATTTTCTGCTAGCAAGACTGAGCTCCTTTTGTTTTCAGTTACATTATTGGTTTATTCCTGCATGCAATTCCTTAAAGATTTTTCTTCTAATTGCTTCTATTTTTCCTACGAAACAAGGAGGACTTTAGAAGACCTTAGGAATGCTGTTAGAAGCGAGCAGGAAGGATAAATTGGCTTGGTGGGGAGGAGGAGAGCAATTCTCCCAAGCACGGTTACAAACTTAGAGCATAATGTTTTGCAAGTGCAATTCTATCCTTTCCTTATTAATTAATACTTTTACTCATTAAAAACTATTGGCCTGTCCTAAATTCTACTGAAAGCTGGATTCGTCTTCAGCTCAAGTGCCCTTGCAATGACTGGAGCTGCTCACAAAACTTGTCAAGAGGGTTGGCAGCAGCAGGTCTTGCAAACTACACCCTGCTGTATGAATTCTTTAGCACTTGCACTGATAACAGCCGAGCTCTGGGGTGGACATGTCCTCTCCTGATCTGTCTCCTTGTGCTACCTACTGGCAGCTTCAGCCAAGCGATCTAGGACAGATTTATGTGAAAATGCCTAAGAATTTGGCTTGTGACTTGCAAAGCGTTCTGCACGTTTGCTACATGTAAAGGCTCTTTTGTTGATGCTAAACAAAAATGCAGCTGGGGGCGTGAGAGCGGTTAATGTGTGGGTGCAGCAGAAGGCAGGGGAAACGGCGACAGACGCTGCTGCTTTAGCCTCAATGCAGCCCCTCATCTCCACTGTTCTGTTCGTGTATAGACAGGAATCGAAAAATGTCTGCAAAATGCAATTAATCCCCTCATGCACTAGCATTTGTTAAGGAGGAAGGGGGGATTAGAGATCACAACAGAGATTAATAGGAAAATTCTTCCATGATATTCTGGCTTTTTTTTTTGATGCTCACTTTGAAGAAGAAAAAAGGAAAGAATTCCTGTGTTTTGTTTTGTTGTTTGTTTTGTTTTTCTTTTTTTTCCCCCTGTTACTATGCAAAGGGAAAACTTCTGAAGTGATTTGACCCCAGCTTGTTTCAGCCTCAACCTTTCTGTCCCCGTTTTAGGCCAATATATTTGTAGCATCCTATGCTTGCTTGTTTTAATTGAATCACAGAGTTGCATACAATGTTATTTTGGCCACACAAAAACACACGAGTGGACACTGTACCCTCCTCTCATGATGTTCTCTGCCCTGGCAGACTTTAAAGGGATCTCTGGATCTGTAGAATTGGCGGTGGTGGTGGCGGGGTTCAAAACAGTGTGGAGAGGTGGTGGAGAAGTGGTCCCCTCCGGAGTCGTGTCCCACTCACCTTCAGTGGTTAAGTTGGACACGTCAGTTCCTGTTAGCGCTGTCTGTGGCAACCTCCTTAGTAACTGGAGAACGGCGGCAGCGAACGGCTTCCTGCATCAAGCAGGCCAGAGGACAAAGCTTCCATATCTGGGCCGTGTCCAAGGTGTCCACATTCAACCTTATCAATAGCTGGTAAGTTCAAAATCCTGCTGCGCTTAGTACTGCTTGGAGCTATCTAGAAATTCCTAAAGTGTTATGGATTGTCTTTGCCCCTGTCCTGTTTTATACGTAGCTAAGGGGGCCTGGCTCTCGAGAAGCTGGGGCAATCCGTACAAAGCATTTCAAATTAACTGACCCATGCATTTCTTTGGAAACTATCAGCTTGTTTTGTTTAACAGTATGAAAGTTTGCATAATTATGAAATAAGCGAGCATATTTAAATGAGGAAATCATTACAAGGCACATTTTACAGCAGTTCATGTACTCCTAGTTGTTGTTGGAATTGCTGTATTTTTTTTGTTATATATAGTAAGAGTGGGTAGAAATTCATAGAAATTATGCTAAGTCTGTATATTTTTGTTATCTAAAAGACTAAGAAAATATTCAAAGCTAAACATTTTCAAACGTGCCTAATCTGAAAGCTTAAACTGTATTTTTTACAGTCAATTAGACACTTCAAATCTGTATCTCCTCATGTTTCCATTCAGCTTTACTGCGAGCATGCAAAGCCTCTCTAAGTGGTATAAAAAGACTGGGATCGAAGCTTGTCTACTAGTTCTTTTTGCATTACTGGTTGCGTTACGAACCTCATGGTGACAGGCTCTGAATAGTTATCACTTGTCAAATCTGAGCCACTCTTTCTTCCCCATGGCAAGCCATAATCTGGCTGTTGTAAAACATGACATGAGAGGACAGCTTGAACATCAAAATATTTCTTTTTAATATACCACTATAAATATAAGACAAGAAAACAGGCAACCGGAATCTAGCTTTACATTGAAAAACTTTCACATTTACTCAGCTGTGTCATCTCTAGCTGGAGTTTTTGCCATAGGTGTAAAATAGGGCAGGTTTGCCTAGGCCAGTGTAGAAAGACGCTTTTAAGGAGAGCATAGGTGTAAGAAGGGAAAGATGAATGTTACAGAAGGAAAAAAAGGTTGGAGGAAGGAGGGGACATTGCTCTTCTGGAGATTTCACAGCATTTCTAATATCTTGGGGTGTTTTTGTCACTTCACCATGCTGAGAGACTGAAAATCACTGACGTTAGTGATATGGGTTCATACGGCCAAATTCCAGTCTGGATTTTTTTTTTTTTCCTCCTCCTGAAAACGATTGATGCAAGTCGTGGAGTCCTGAGGTGCACTGGAAACCATTTGTGTGTGCAGGAAAATGCCGGTATGTAGCCTGTGCTCTTCTCAAGTACCCACAGATCATGTTTTGCTTTTGCAGGTAGCTGCCCTTGCAGGAATGGCTCGTTCAAAAGGATTTCTGCCTGCAGATCACAAGTATTGCAGCGCAGTGACGACTCTGGACAAAGTCTCATGCTGCAACGTCATACCTACCACCAGCCCCTGCTGCAGGAACTCTGTGGTAGTGCACCCGGCCTGCAACCCCATGCCCCTCAGCCCCTGGAGGTAAAATCAAGTTCTTGTTTGAATCTGTGATTTGTTCCTTTTCATGATATCTAACAGGATAAGACAGCCTGGAAAGTGTTAGGTTGATGAAACCTGACCACCATTTCCCGCCTCTTCCCTAGCAGTTCTTCAGATGGTATTAGCTAAAATGATTTGCTACTTTGGAGATTATGAAAAGCAAAGCTTAGAATAAGCCTGCTATCAAAGGAAACATGCCTTTATATTGCTTAGATAAATAAAAGGATCTTGCATTAGCAGCCATCTTCTATGAAATGGTTCCAGTGCTGTGTGCCAGGGATTTTGTTTTGTTTTGAACCTGAGCCTGTCATCAAACAGCAGCTTTATTTTCACTTTTCTGCTTTTCCAATGTTCCCTGAATGGAATGTCCTGTGACAAATCCTTAGCACTCAGGTAAATCTAAGCAGTGTTCTCTGCTGCAGACCTACCCTTGCTCTCTCCTGCTCTTCAGGGCTCCTTTGGCTTGCCGTATAAATTGCAAAGCATCTAGTGTGGGTTATGCTGGGACTGCAGCATCTTTCAAGCACGTTTCCTCTAGATCCCAAGCCTAGGAGGCCTGCAAGAACAGGCACTGGTGTCTTTACTTAAAGAGCAAGGAATTCCCTCTGCACAATTAAGTAAGTTTTCTCTTTCTTTCTGCTTGCTGTGACTTACAGGAAAGCTGAAAAGTCAGGCGCAATGATCCAGTTCTCAAAGGTTATAAGATTTCTTCACTTGACATACAGAAGTTATTTTCTCTCAGTTTTTCTCTGTGACCTGTTTTCTTTAATTTGAGGTGCCGGTGGATTAGCTGCTGCCTCCCTGCCCACATCACAGTGTGGAAGAGGCCGAGTGTTTTGGAGAGCTCAGCTGCCTTAGCTAGGGATGTCCCTGTTCTGGTGCGAGGGGAACACAATGGATTTTATTACCATGGTACAGTAAAAGAAGAGCTAGAGGTGAGTGACTGCTGCTCTGCATGCTCATGCCAGTGTTTGCAATGCCGTGTGTGTAGGGGGAGGCTGATGGGTCCCCCAGAGGATACAGGTGGGTCACCCAGTGAGCTCCAACAGAAGAGCTAGGTAAAACCTGCTGTGTCTGCGTGGTCCCCCTTGTTAACACTCCTTGTATCTCTGAGCACTAGAAAAGACCCAGCATGGTGGCACAGTCCCCCAGCAGTCACAGGAGTGATCAGGAGCTCCTTACACGTTGTGTGGGGTTCAGCTACTGCATGAACTTGAGGAGAAATGGCAAGGACAGCCTCTGTTCGTGATTATGTTCATTGAGTGCTATATAAACCCCATAAAGTGTCCTAGTGTGCTGGATTGCTGGGTGTCCTCGCTCGCTGCCTAACGGCACGCAGGGCCACCTTGTCACTGCAGCACAGCCTCTGACACCGGCGTGTCAGTGGTGCTCAGCGCCCTGCTCTGCTCACCCTCCTTTCCCGACTCCGTGTCTGGAGGCAGGGCTTGCATGGAAGCTGGAATCTGTGCAAAGAAAAGCAGCACAGATCAGTGCCAGAGGGGCTGCGAAATCACCCTCCTCCAAGAGGAACCAAGTGTGCTGCAGTGTCCTCTTTGAGACTTCCAAGGAGGATCTCACACACTCTCACCAGGCTGGGCTGCGGTGGATGTCATACTCCCCCGTGGGTTTCTTGTCCATCGTGCTACTCTAATTCAAAGAAGGTTTTAAGCACTGCGTGCACTGCTGCTGCCCTCCACATCTCCTGAGCTCAGCTAGGAGATCTCTGCTTTCCTCCCACCCCGCTCCCAAGGCTTATTGCCAACAGTTCCGAAGTTTTGCAAAGTTTGCCTTTTGTCCCTCCAGCCCATAACCCTGTGTGCCCCGGCACCGCCGTGCACCGAGGTCAGGCCGCCTCCTTCCGCGGGTGCGGGGCACTCGGCCGGATTCCGCCGGTGCTCGTGGTGTTGTGGACACTGCACTAGCTGCTGTTGTGTGTAGACACGTAACAATAGCACAGGAAAAGTGTGAGTGTGTTGTGTATACACCTCCGCCCGAGCCAGCTACATCCCAATGGCACCGTGTCTTTCCAGAGATGTCAGTGATAGCTTTAATTCATTAGTTTGTTAGCACTTCAAACTAAACAGGAAAAAAAGGCCTATTCTTGCTCAAGAACAGGGCAGTGCTGCATTTGATGTTGATGGAAAGCCTCTTGGCTGGCCTTGCGTTCAGTTCCTCCAAAGAGCAGTGGGTTGACGTTGCATGTAACAAGGAAGGGCATGGCTAAAGAACAGGCTTGAGCAGGTTTGGTGTCCCTTGCTAATACTACACCCTGTTTAGTTACTGTTTACGCTCACTTGGTGATCTGCCTTGGCCTAAAAGGCTGCAGCATGATTTGCCAATGAAGTGTTCTTGAGAGGAACTCTTATTTTGTTCCCGGTAACAGGACGAAAGACGAACGTTTCTGGTAGAGTTGGCCAAACCAGTTGTGGCACACGGCAAGTCCCCCGTGCGGGTGCAAAAAGCAGCCGAGGATGATATTCTGGAGTACATGAACGGCATGAAGCACTCTTTGCTCCCTGGGGATAAAGTGCTGGCCCCTTGGGAGCCAGATATGGTGCGGCTCGGCCCAGGAACTGTCCTCATGGGCATTGAGACTCGGGATCCCCTGCGAGGTAAGGGAGGTCCTGACCTGCCTTCCTTGCCTTGCAGAACAGGCATGGTGCTGCAGCAGCAGTGCAGCACTCAATCCTCAATCACAGCTCAGTTGGTGGTTTAAACCTTCCAGGAACTACTGTGACTTGCTAATAGGTACCTGTGTGTAACCTTGCTAGTTTACCCCTAAGGAAGCTGTGACCTACCAATGGGTTATTTCCTGTCTGCTGGGACAAGGGTGTGCGTGCTGTGTGGGGCATGGGGCCTTTTCCTGAGGGATCTGAAGGAAGCAGATCCTCTTGGAGGAGGATCGTCTGGGCTAGGTGCTTAGCTTAATTATAGACCCCAGGGTGATTTTATCCCCCAAGCATGTGGTTTCAACAGCTCCTTTGGCTTCCCATGCTTGCCAGTCAGGCTGTGCTGACTTACCAAAACACTGGTAAAATATTCTCGATGTGTTACTGCTAACTTTGGCAGCAACAACAAAATTGGTCAGTAAGCATTTATGTGCCCATTTGATGAAAAAAACAGGAGGAAATATACTGCCAGGCCTGTTGTTGCACTGACAGTGTCTGAGCTGCCACATCACCTTTGATGACCTGGTGATGAGGAGGTGCTGCAGAGCTGGCCGCACTGCTGGCCGGAGCGGCCGCAGGCAGAGCAGCTGCTCATGCTGCTTATCTTTTCTCTCAACAGCTGCAGAAGATGAAGAAATTACGGTCCAGTTCTGGAACGGCAAGAAAGTGAAACTCCCACTGGGTGTTGCTCTGTGGATCCCTCCTAGCCGCTGGGAGAGGATTGTAGAGATGATCCGCATGCCCTTCACCAGCAGCTTGAAGGCCAGAGAAAATCCTGACACTAACTCTTGTATTTTTTCCTGCAGTCCCGTAACAGTCCCAATTCCTCTTTGTACCATAGGTACCCTTGCTAGGCAAGGCCTGCTCTGCTGGCCGCATCTTCACCACCACCGTGGTGGTCCGTGCTGCGCATCAGTACGTTGGGGCTGCATCTGCAGCTGCCATCCTCATAGTGAGGCCTGGTGGCCTCTTCCTTCCCACTCCTTGGTCCTTCCAAGAGGAAAGGAAGAGGCAGAGCCCAGCAGCAAACCCTCTTTGTGCCTTCTAGACCTGGAAGGTCCAAAACAAGAAGCAGCAGAAGCCGCTGCATCTCTCCCCTCTTCTACTTTAGAGTGTGACCAGGAGCCGTTCCCTGCTGAGCGCAGTGTGATGGACAGGGCTGTTAACACTGACTCCAAACTGCTGGAGATGCCCAAGCTAAAGGATTCTGCAAGGCCAAAGTGGAAATACTGGCAAAGGAGCCACCACAAGTCCCATCCTAGTAATCCAGGTACCTTAAAACAAGCAAACAAACAACAAAACAACCCATAGGGAAGAGGTGACCAGAGGCAGATAACCTGTGTGCTCTGGTGCCCTCTACAGCTGGACAGTCACTTAGCCTGCAGTTACCTGGTCTAGATATTACAAGCTTGGCTTGTAATTATCAGGCTATGCTGCAATATATTCCCCTTTGTAATGTTTTCCTGCATGCTCTGTAAGTAACTCATCCAATGGAGAACTACCAGAGCAGCAAGTCATTTTTAGAAGCATAGATATGCCCCTCTTGAGCTCCTTCTCAATCATCTTCCCATGCTTTTTATGATGTTCACTTCCTCACTAACCTTCACAGCTAGTCTATGCCGAATAAATCACTTGAAAAAATATTTTCAGGCTTAAAATGTGTTCTCCTCTTAAACGAATGTTTCTCAAATGCAGTTCAGGTTTTATTCTTCATAGGGCTTAGATGTCTATAATTTCCCCCCCTCCAGGATTTGGCATTCATGGCAGCTCACACATGAAGGGCAGGCTGGCATCCGAAGCCAGCGCTGCTGTGGACAGGCCGTGTGTTACCCCCACTAACCAGAGTGCAATGTTTGAAATTGTCAAGCAGCCTCCCAGAAGGCAGCTCACAATGAAGGAAATCTTAACCTCAAGCCCTCATCAATGGTAAGGTAATCCCTATTAATGCTGTATTTACTTAGGCATTTCATTTGTTTGAAAGGAAGAAATGTTCTTATTAACTCTCTGGGGCTTAGCTGGAGAAGAACCTTGCCTCGAGTCAACTGTCTGATAAAGCCACTCCCAAACAAAAGAGAAACCATCAAATAAAAAAGAACGCACGTGTGTGAGCATTCAGCAAAGGCTGTGCCTTCCGAAACCTGCCCAAGGCCCATTGGCATCAGCCCAGTAAAGCCCTATGGGAAGTGGGAGCTATGTAAGTGGCCCTGAAAATAGACAGTTCAGCTTTAGCAGCGATGAACCAGCACAGCACCACAGAAGAAAAACTATGTACAACAACTCCCAGATGCAGTCTGAAAGGGTGCTGGGCTCTGATAGGCTCTGTTCATCATGGCTTCTATTTCTGAAAGATAAAAATACCTTTTTTTGGCAATCAGTTTTTACCAAGTATCTTCTCTGCCTCCCTGACAAGCAGCAGGCAAACAGGAGATTGCTGCTTTGAAGGTAAGGGATGCAGAGCCCCATCAGAGCTGAGAACAAGGACCAGCACCCTCTGGTTTCTTTCAAAAAGGTCTCTCTGGGTTTAAGAGAAAAAATGAACAAAAATCAATTAGACCATGAAAGCCAAACAAAAACATGCACTGAAAAAAGGAAGGGAAAAGCTGTCAGGAAGAAAGGGAACATGAAGAGCTGCCCAGAAACAAGGAAGCTGAACAGCAACCCTGCTCTGTGCAAGACGGACAGAGGTTCTACAAACTGTACGTCACAGATCACGTGTTAGCTCCTCTTTCGCTTCTGCGAGCTGACTGGAGAGGTAAAAGTTTCCTAAACTTGCATGATTTTCTTCAGGAGAAGATTAATATGCTAATGGCATGACTTAGTGATCAGAAAATATACAGGAATATGCTCTACTCTCACAATGATACCCATTATTTTTAAGCAGAGCCTTACAAATCTATGAATTGTATGTTTTCTACTTTATTATTGAAATTATATCATACACTTCTGTAATGATTCACTTTCTTTTCTAGGAGCGTGCGATTTTCCTGACAGATATCCTGTATGTTGACAGGTGTTGTTATCTGTGTGCTGAAGGGACATACCTTGCCTTTTGGTAAAACTAAAACAAACCGATGTGTCTTCATTCTAATCCAAGCCTTGCAGCAAGAATCACGCAACATGTCCATACAGTTTTACCTTAAAAACACTAAGGGCCGTTTAACAGGAATAATAGAAATATCTGGGAGTGACATAGCTATCCCTTGAGATAGCTGAAACATTTTTATCTTGTAATGCAGGCTGCATCCACAGGAACTCCGTTATCTTTTGAAAATGTGTAACATGGTGCTTGTAGCAAATAAGCAGGGTTAAGGAGTAGCTTTTCAGAAGGGCTCCCTGCTTGGCCAACATCCTCCCACTGCAGTCAACAAAAAACTCCCACTAACTTTCACACGAGCAAAGTGTGGTTACAGCCTAACAGTTTCTGGAAAAGTCTAGTCCTATGATAATGTATTTGTATTTCAGAAGAGTATTTTTTACTAGTACAGAAATAATGGCATTATTAATACTTTACAGGGCCAATGAACCTATTTTACAGGCAGGAGAGCAAAAGTTGGATGTTGATGCTGTTCTTTTTTTTTTTTTTTTTTTTTTTTAAAGACGGGACTTCTGAAAGATTTGTTTCCTGTCCTTGAGGAAGGTTTTGCAGCATGAGGAAAACAAAGATATCATAGAGTCAAATAATAAAGGCAAAACAACTTGCAGAAAAGGGGACAGGCAGGAAATAAAAACAAACAAACAAGGCAGCAGAGAGGCACAATGAAGAGGACTCTACTGAGCGCACATCCGGTGAGATTAAGTTTCAGGTAGGCTGCGCGACACTGAGTTACTTAAGCAAATAAAGGCCTGTGAGTTAGCACGCTCTCGGTAGGTAGCCTGCAGGCTCTCTCATTAGCAAAGCCCTATCAATAACTAGGTTTTAAATAACTTTCCATGAACATGGAAGTGCAGCATCCTCATGCTTTATCCTAGGAGGAGGGTAGTGTTTATTAGTATAACTGAGGTAGACATAGGTGATACGTTGTGAGCCAGATTCTCAGCTGCCCTAAAATCAGCGCCAGGCTGCAGAAGCTCATGTGCATCTGTGCTCATAGTGCAGGGATTTTGCTCTCTGTGCTCAAGAACAGGACACAGACTTTCTGTCCGAGGATAATACAAAAGAAGTTGTCATCACAGGCAAGATTGTTTTAGTCCAGTGATTGCATCTTTAATTGGAATCACACAGTCACATAATTGGAAATAAGGCACACGATGTACAAGTATTTATAAAAATCAATGTACAAAGTGTACAAAGTGGGCTGTATATAATATATATATTTGCATTAAGTATAAAACAAGTGTATATGAGTATAAAAATGCAGACCCAAAGTACAGAATACTGTTAAAGTGCTAAAAGAGGAAAAGATATGTATAGTTCACTATATGCCTTAAAAGCCTGGAATTTTATTCCCATGATTACCGAGAAACAACAAACATCATAGAACAAAAGTTAAATCAACACTCTGTCCTGCACTGACATCTACCACGTGGGTCTGTTTCACCATGTCCTCTGAGGTTGCCGTGATAGAATAGGTGCCAGGAGAAACTTCAATGTAGATATCTTTGGAAGCCTTCCTCATCTTTGAGGAGAGAGAGAAAGAAAAAATTAAGGGAAAAAAAATAACCTTCAAAACCAGTTAGTTATCTTAATTTTTCCCCAAAATAATGTTTTGAATTGTGGATGATAAAAAAGTTACATTTCAACAGCTCTACGAACATATTAACATCTTTCAAAATACAGGCAATATGGCAATAATTTCTATTTTTTCTATGGGATAAAAGCATTTTGCAAGCTCTATATTCAAAGTCTTTTATCTAATACTTTTATCAATGGTGATAACCACCATGCTGCAACCTGATTCAGAAAACTAAAGCCAGTCAAAATAAACATTTTTGCACATAAACCTGGAAACCATCCACATAACGAAGTAGCCATATTAGTTTTTAAGGTGGTAAAGATTCCACGTTTCTTTGTTTGAACCAGTTTTAGGAGCACCTAAGCCACAGTGAACTGTTAGCCTATGAAAACCAAGAAGGTTTTCTTCGTCTTTGAGGAAAGGGGGGTGTTCAAAGAGCCTGCACCAGGGCCAGGCACAACTGGCTAGCTACCTGCACACCGCTCCTGCATCCCTTTCTTCAGTACAGGAACTTTGTCAGGAACGTAAATGAGGGGAGGCTGGAGGACAACTAGATTATTGTTGCTGATGCAAGTCAGAGGAGGCTAAAGATCCCTCGCTCTGCTTGCCATCCTGTACCAGTCCAAGCTGTAAGGCAGCCTCTTAGTTAACTACGTGTCGGGATGTTATGATCTGGTTTGTAAGTGTGCAGGTCTCTATACACAAATTCTACTGCTCACCTATACACTACGATTGTAAATGCATCAATACATCTCTGGTGCGTCTTCTGTGCCATCACAAAATCTCTGTGCCTGATTGTAAATCTTAAACTACAGCCTGATGCCGAATGAAAAGCGAATGCTATACCTTAAATTAACACTTAAAATCTAAGTATCTATAAACTTACGCAGTACGGGCAAGTTTTAGGTTGACTGGACGCTCTTGAGGTTGCATTTTTCTGGAAAGAAAAAGACACTGTTTTCTGACCATGCCACACAAATGCTATATTCAGCCCTAGAGCATGGGGGGCTGCATTAAGTCTGTAAAACTCTCCCCTTCCACAGGAGGATTAAATGACAGTCATTGGTGCCACTAGGAGTTTACTTTGCCCTCTCCACTAACAGGAGGAGGCTGAGTCCAAGCTTTCAGGTGTCTGATGTCAAGCCCCTTCTATTTAAAGACAAATTTGTGTAAGCAAGTATTGCAGACACTCAGTGGACTAAAGTGGCCCATGTCAAGGGGAAGAATAACCACAGGGGCAGGGGAGAAAGCACTTACCTCCTTCTCTGCAGCCTCCAGCCCTCTTTCCCCTGCCTGCCTGCTGTGGTATCTGCAGATGTGTCTGATCTCGTGCTCTTTGCATCTACAGGCTGGCACTGAGCTATAGTATTTCTGGACAGCAAATAAAAAGGACAATATTAGGTAGAGGAACATCCCAGCCCTTCTCATGACAATTCCAGAGCCAGGAAAGGGGAAAGGCCAGGGCAGCTAGTGTCCTTCTGCATTAACCACCCAGTTTGTTCTCACCCTGAGTAAGACATGTAACACACGGGGACACCTTGGGGTTTAGTCCTCAGAAATATTGAGTCAAAAGGCTGCAGGGGGCACGTGAGCTTGCCTGGGGTCTCAGGTAGTGCCAAGGGCAGCTGAGCACCCCATATTACGCTGTGCAGACAGCCCTGCGCGTGCAAAAGCAGCTCAGCGTGGGCAGCGGAAAGGGGAGCTGGTGAGGAGGGCAGCACGGGGCTGCCGCCGCGGCGAGCACGACACCCGCGAGGGCTCTGCGGCCGCCAGCTCCCCCAGCGCCCCCGTCCCGAGCAGGGGGACCACGGGGGGTCCCTCTCCTGCACCTGCACTCTCTCTGCACGCTGCCAAGGCCACGCAGGACAGGGACAGGCTGAGGGAAATTCTTGCATTTTATTACAAGAAGCACGGGTAAACTTTGGTTCCCAAGTGATTCTTAAGAAGTCATCCTAAACTGCGCAGCTTTAGGAGACTTTTGTCTTCAGGAGACTACATTCTGCTGCAGGTTTTTCTTTACCTTTGTACTACCTAAGATCTCAGGAGCTAAAGCCCCCGCTGCCGCAGCTCTTTCCTCTGCTCTCACGCAGGTGGCGGGAGCAACTCCACGCGCGCCGAGCAGAGCAGAAAGCGAGCACGGATCCCAGAGGGACGCGAGAAGGGGCGTCTCCAGGCGCCGCCGCATCCCGGTTTCACCCTGCTAAGGCGCTTTTAGGGTTAATAGTC